TTTCAAAAAAAAAAATAATAAAATGGCAAATCGTATCAGGACAAATATATCAAACAAAAAAAAACCGACGAGCAGGGCCAAACAAGAATTTTAATTTTAAGAATGTCAAAAATATTATTGTGCCTCGCCATTTGTTATAGTAGTTATATGTATCATCATATTATCTGGTGTACTTAGAGTTATCGTTATGCGTATCCATCGCGTCACAGAACGCACTCGTACTTGTATAATAGGTACCCATTAATACCTTATGCTATATATATGCGAAAAGAGGAATGGTATGATGGAATTCGGAGACGATGTCGTGTCGTTCGTAATAATTATTTCCCTGGTACTGTTCTGTACACATCGCATCGTTGTGTCTAATTTGAAAACTTCTGCCATTTTAGCCGCAATTAAACTGAAAAACTTTTCATCAAATGTTCATTTTTTTTTTTTTTATTATTATTGTTATTAATTATATATACAGTCACAAGAAGGGCAGGTAGACGGAGGGAGAGTGACAAAAACAATTGTACGGCAGATTGAAATTTACGTTTTTGCGTTCACGACTATATTATATCGCCATACGTAATATTATTATATAGCGTTGTCGGAACACGCGACAATCACTCGCCACGACGAACGACGAACTGCGCACGGTTTACGTGCACATTTTATAATATAATATATTAATACGTATAATTCGGTTAAACCGTACCGTTCACGAAATCCGAGTAAAAATATTCAGATAGTAATTCCTAAAAATAATTCTCCAACGAAATCCGCGGTAATATCTTACCTTTGCTGACCCCGGAGAACTTGTCCCTGAGCAAGTTCAACTGGTACACTCGACCAAACTCGCCGAACATGTCCATCAGATCCTGTTCGTTCATCGCCCTGGGKATCTGGCCCACGAACATTTTTATGTAATCGGTTTCCGGTTGTTCGCCGTCGTTGCTGCCATCGGCCGTGGACGCACATGGGGTAGGAATGGACATTTCTATATCACTGAAAGTGGAAAAAAAAATAATAAAATATATGATGTATGACTCAGTTACATAACGTTATAATAATATCATAATACTACGGGGGATGATGGGACGTCGAAGAATTAATGTAATCCGATCTACTTGTGTATAGACTCACTATATCAATATCATTTTATACCGGTTACCCATCTAAGTACATACATATACGTTATTACCTATATGTAATAATAATAATAATAATAATAATAATATTATGTACAGATATATATTTCGTTTTTAATCAACCGTGTGTCGTCGAAACCTGGCTCGTCTAACTGATTTCTTTCGACATTTACCTCTATATTATGTATATATATATATATATATATACATATGTGCGCGGTTTATGTGTGCACAAGGAGATCTACCCCAAATTGTGTTTAGAGACGACCCCCCAGGGAGATTCGTCGGGCCGACAGAATATATAGGCACGGGCTGCATCGACCATTTCGCATTTTGCCCTAAAGAGGCTTAAGATCCGATTTCACCGTCGGCGATGGTCGTTGCGGTGATTGTTGAATGGTAGGATTTACACACTATATATACATGATGTATTATTATTATTGTGGCACACGTGTCCAATCAATCGACGATCATTACGACCGAATGTCACCTGATCCGATCGAATCCCGTCGTCGTCGACATCATATTGTTATGTTAGGTATTTCAATACTKTACAATGTAATATACGACTATAGTTAGTCGATTAAAARCGAMGAAGTGAAACAAAAATGTGACCCACGCGAAAGAGAAAAAACTGATCAAAGGAAATGCGTATCATTGTCATAGTAGTTATCATCGTCTTGTGACACCACCATGATTGGTAATTATTTTTGTAGCCTTTCGACTGAAAAACCAAAATCACCGTCATGCTTTTAAGGTTTCCTTTTTGTGTAAGGTTGCATTTTTTCTATACAAGAAAAAAAAACATTTGTGATATCGAAAGTCARCGAGTGCAAAAGACAGCGTTTGTGTTTTTATTTTATACATTTTTCCGTTTCGATTAAAATAAAATAAAAGCGTTGMGGGTCGAATAATATACTCATCATACACTATTACGAGGTCGAGGGTGGTGGACGGTGGTAGTAGCGCGACGGATAAGGCGTTTCAAGAACTAAAAATAATAATAATAATAACAACAACAAACAAGAAAGGAGGAAAAACAAATTTTACGACTATATATGCTAACTTTTTCGTTTTTATAATATGGATGTTGTTTACGAATCTAAAATGAATAATAAATAATCAATGTAACACGAACGCCGTGAAAATGAACCAACTATATGGTATAATACAAATTTCWACCACCAGAACAGTAAACAAGCATAAATATCAGTACATTATTGGACGCTGTAATGTGTATTATAATCTACAATGGATGAGTTGTGTSTAGTGGTGAAACAGAAGATTGTAAAATTAGCAATTAATGTCAATAGAAAATATTGTCTCGTATACTAAATTTTATTTACATATTTATTTCACGCAGCTAAAAAAAAACGTAAAACGAGTTGTGATATATATTGATATCGAGTATACATCATTTAACAGTCATTTTACGTAAGTAAAATGCACGATCGATGTCTAAACGAAAATATCCAAAAAAACAGATCTTCTGAAATACCCCCMGCAGAGAAATATGTGAAGTTTTTATTATAAGAAAAATGCCGGGCTAGCTACTCATCGTAGAGTATGATTACGTATATTATACTCTATTAAAGTTAAAAAAAAACGATTTCGTTCGGCAGCAGTCGGACAACACCCGCTTGTCATCACCCGCTCACTACTCTGTAAATTATATCTTTATGCGTGCCTTGTAGTATTTCCACGCACTGCTCACAAGTCGAACGTCGACTACGTTTTTTAACTGGCGCAGAGTTTGTGGGGAAAAAAAACACCGCTCATAACGCACATCATCATAATGATAAAGTAGGTAGCAATGGTGCAACGAGGGTGGTGGAATTCGGGTCCGGACCCTCCCCCCTCACCACACCCTTGGAACGTATAATATTATTCTTAGCAAAAACATATACTCGATGTTTCTACAAATTAAAATGGTTTATTTTGTCGGACCCCCACCCGCCCCTCGTTTGAAAAATTTCTGGTTACTTCACTAACAAACAGGCAGGTAGGTATTATAATTATTACATAATATAGACCCGTAATACAAATAACTAACCGTACACAGAAACCTAAAACCACAACGGGCAGCCACTGCACGCGGTAACGGAGTGGTGATTGAGTGGGGGGGGATGAGGGGGGGGCGAGAGTTTTAATAGTATAGTTATCTCCATCCCGCTCACTCGCTCAAAACGCCCCACACGTTTATCACGGGTGCGAGTGTGTGGGGATAATGCGACGCCCCGCGCGTCCTTATCTGCTCGTACACACTCGAGTACCGAAATTGCATATGCATGAACGCCTCGTAATGAGCGGACAAATGAAACGAAATATTATACGCGACGGCGTGTATTATTATTATTATACCTGCCGCGCTGCCGTCTGAATAATAGTAATAGTAATAATAACAATAATAACAATTTTGCGTTTTGCTGCGGAATAATATACATGCGACGTATAACGGAGCGGCACGAACGACTTATTTCCCCCCTCTCCCCCGCTGCGTTGATATAGGTTCACACGGAATCTCGGTAAAATTGTATTATCTCGTCACCCTCGCCTCCATATTATTGTGCCGGAAACGAATCTAATTTTGGAAATATCAAAAACCACAAGACGCGGTTTTTACCGACATCGCTTTATGCGCTGCACAATATTACGACATCATATACGTAGGTACTATCAGTTTAGACACGCGTAAAACAATTATTGAATTRTGATTTTACGATTTGCACGCACTCGAACACTATTATAATATAGTCTATTAGTCTTGAAAGAGTGTGTATGTTCAAAAATACGTTTCCGGCACGGAAGATTTTACCGCACAATATGTTCCGGTGCGAATTATTCGAGTGTTTGCGCAACGCCGGTAGGTTAAACWCCACTCCTGTAAAAATTACGTTGGAAAAAATTATCCTACGGATTATATAATTACAATAACGTTTCAATTGAATTCTAAGTTGCTGCATTATSGTATGTCTTTTTTCCGATAAACTAACTAGACCGTTACAATAATGCAATGTCATGCCATATGTCCTATGGTTTTATCATCATGCAATTAATGGTGCGTTATCGTTATAATAGACATTCGGATGAAACGATAACGGATATTAACCAGTTGCCCGTTAAAGTTTTTAAAATGAGTAATAATCCATTACGATAGCTGATAATCAAATAACCGTACCGATTTTGGCATCGCACGCGCAAAGGCTTTTTTTATTGGTAAATAACGGACCGGGCTCATACGTTATTTTTAGCCGGCACTGTAGTGCAAAAATCGTCATGTCCAATGCGGAGAGACTTTTTGATTGAACTACCTSKACGAAGCGAAATTCCGTTAAAAAAAAAAAATAAAACATTAAAATATCTTGTGGTAAGGTTATATTTTTTTTTAATTTTAATYAAGCGTCGACCACAAAGGTTATTGGCTATAAACATTAATATTTTTTAACACAAGTATGAAGCATTAATAATAATATATACGTAACAATCAGGGGCGTATTTAGGGGGGGTGTTAGAACACCCCCCATCATCCGTATTTTTTTATATTTTCATCAAACTCTGAATTTACTCATTAGACCGAATTTAATTATATATTCTAATAATTATTAGACCAAAAAATATATGCAGAGGATATTGTAGTTGATGAAAAAAGTGCAAAGGGTGAATTTTTGGTTTGGAAGCAACAGATTAAAAAGTCCACTCCGAAACATGTAATAGATGCTTTGCATAACTGTAATTCTATTATTTTTCCTACGATTCACAGGCTGTTGGTTATCTTAGCAACATTTCCTGTCACTACATCTACGAGTGAACGTTCCTTTTCAACTCTCCGTARACTTAAAACWTATTTAAGAAATACCGTTGGAGAAAACAGGCTGAATGGTCTAGCTTTAATGAATATTCATAGACATATACCTATATCTACGGCAGAGGTTATTGATGAACTTGCACTCCAATCCCGCCGCTTAAAATTCACCTAGGTTCTCAATTWAKCATAATATGTAYCATATTATTATTATTTCTTTTTTGTGATTAATAAAATAAAAGTTATTATTTTAGTTATACCTAGTATAAAAGTTTTATACGACTTGCAAATTGTACGCATACCTACTAAATATTTACTATAATTATTTTCATTAATATAATAATTTACATCAATATATGGTACTTGTTTATGTTATACGGGTGGTGTAACCTACCAAATGACTATTAAATTTAAAAACACCCCCGTAAAATGAATCCTGGATACGCCACTGGTAACAATAATAATAGTATAAAAAAATGCGATTTAAATATATTTAGATTATATTA